GAGTGGTGAGACAGACGCGTGCAATAGGGAAGGACCTGGGTTTGATAATTAGGTCTGGATTTTTGTTTTTCTAATATGTTTCCTGCAGATCCAGTGCTCCCAGATCCAAAGCGTGCACTATACATCATCTAATCATCACCATCAGATGTTGTTGCAAAAAGATCTGACCATCCTAGGGCGCGTATCCACCATGTAGCTTCAAGGATGAGGCTCACCAGATCATGTTTGAAATGTTGGATTCAGGTTTATTGGGCCTAAAAAAATCCAAATTCCACCCCCATTTACTTTAACACCAGGCCCATCATTTTTCTATATTTTATTCTTTTAGTTTATTATTTATTTATTTTATATTTGCTTATTTTTAAAACCATTTTTTATTTAATCATAAAATATAAAAAAACACAAAAATTTAGATTTAGATTTTTTTTATTTTATTTAATTTTCATAATTTAATTTAGTTAATTATTTTTAACTTATTTCCTTAATTTAAAATCAATAGACTTAGGATTTAATTGATTTCAATTTTTTCATAAATAAAAAATACCAAAAATATTAGGTTTGTTTTAGAATCATTTTTAATTAATAATTTTCTTTTCTTTCTTATTTTAATTAATTAGATTTAATTTAATTTAATATTTTCCCCAAATAAACAAACACAACAAAAAAAAGTTTCTTTTACTTAGAACTTTCTAGGGTTTTAAACGTTCTTTCTAATTCACGCGCGTTTAGTATTTTCGCATTATCATTTTCATATCATTGTATCTGACTATGGGTTGTAATAGTTAAAATTAAGACTTTATTTACTGCTTTTTTTTACTTTCCCCATTTTTGGATTTGTAAATTCCCCCTCCCCGAAGCCATTTAATAGTTAGGTTTTAAATTTCGCACTTTCAATTCTTGTACATATATGAACTGTTTAGATGTATGGTAATAGGATTGCATGGTAAGAAAATTAAAAACAAAACGTTAGCAGACCTAATGCAAAGATAAATAACAGAAACACAGCGCACTTGCACATGCACACCTCTAGGGTACTCCCACTTCGGTTGCCTTCGGAATAAAATAGTAACAACTCTCGAAACGTGAGAGATTTTAGTGGCTACCCTCCGGTTTAAAGATCTAAAAATGACCCTCTCGATGTTGCCTCTGTATGATCTTAAAACCCTAGGGTAGTTACTAAAGTATCTTGTCCAGTTGCCTTTGTGACTGTACGATGTCCCTTCAATTGTCCCCTAAACATCCGACGATAGAGCTACCTACTCACTAATAGTAGGATAACATTGTCTAAAGGAGGAGAGGAAAAGAACGAACACTTTCGAGTAAAGTAGATAGTTCTTAGATGCTTGCTCAAAAACAATTTTTCACATACACAAAACTCTTTCTAAAAACATTTTTAAAACTCTTTGTATACGTTCTTAACAATACGAGAAACATTACGAAGTTCGCCACACTAAGGCGTCTTTTCAAATACTTTTTCAAACACACAAACACAAGGTATTTTCAAATGAGCTAGCATCTAAGAGCTCGTAGATAACTACTGATAGAAAGGATGCTAACACCTTCCCTTTCCATAATCTACCCCCCTTACTCAGAAATAATCTCGAAAGGTCTTTTTCTGTTCTTTTCACCCTTTTCTTTGTTAGATAAAAGAAAAATCGATGGCGACTCTTTCTTACCGCAATATTTGTGAATACAAACGCAAAACCAGTATAATAGTCGGTTCTGCCACCGTATTACACACCCATTGTTGGTTGGTCCAGAGGTCATTGGTGCTGGACTTGGTAGGGCAGATTACGGTCCAATCCCCCGCAACTGCAGTTGGGAAGAATGGGATTGCATCGATTAGTTACCACCAGAACCCCGTGCGAAAAAAGAAAAAGGGATCATAGTCGCTAACATATTCCCTTACTATGAGTATGTATGGATAAATGGCTTAATGTGATTGGCTTGAATGAAAGTGGGTGAAAATAGACGAAAAACATAGGTTGAGTTTTAATATCATAATTTAGATTGGCTTGCATAGGGTGGGAGTTTTTTACCGCAAAATGCAGGCTTGTGTCATTACAACATCCTTGATGTTCATGTTCAATACCTATCAATCTAACAAAAGTCTAGCAACCACGCATGATTAGAGTTTGGTTGTGTTTGTATTTCAAACTCATGTCTAATTTGTTACTGCGTTGGTTAATTGCTTGAGGACAAGCAGTCGTCTAAGTGTGGGGGAGTTTGATAACGTGAAAACGTATCGTATTTCCCAACTCGATTCGCATGCTAATTGATTTCATTTCGCTACTTTATCGTACTTTTATATTGTTTTAGGTTTCATTTCAGGTGCTATTTTAATAAGAAAGAGATTGCAAGAGAGCCAAGAAAAGTACCAAAAAAAAGAAAGAAAATACATGTTTCTGATGCATGGCATTCGCTATGGCTTCACGGCGTCCGCCATGGCCTCATGGCGTCCGCCATAAGCTTCATTTGCCACATCAACAACTCACTTAACTATAACGTTTGCCATGGCCACATGACAGTCGCCATGAACTAATGGACAATCAAAACATAGAAGTAGAAACTACTATATTCTCTCCACCCTCCTTATTTTTTTTAATCCATTTTTACATGAACTAGAGACATAGCACTGCATCATAACATTATAAAAAAGCAATTCTTCTAAATTCTAAGCATACAAGTTTGATGCGGAAACTCTAGCGAAATTAATTTTAAGTTTAAATTCAATTTTCAAAATAGTAATCTTTTGCATTAAAGGATTATCACATAAGTTATTCATTAATATAATTGTCACGTCATGAAAAATGTGACTCAAATGAAATAAAATTTAAAATCTCAAAAAAAAATAGAAAGATCACTAAAACCAATATTTAAAATAGAAAAATTAAAATAAAAAAAATTAAAAGAAAGAGACTAAAATTAGAATTAAGATAAATATTTTAACAACTAACAATGATTTTACTATTAAAATCAAGACAAATAAATTAAAGATGTTAAAACTCCGAGAAAACATATGACGGAGGAGGGTGTAGTATTTAATTTGAACACATTAAATTAAATAAACAATTTGTAATAAAAAATAAATAAAAAAAGGTTACACGTGCTTGATGTATTCCGGTCCAATAACGTTGAAGTTGGTTTAAAAAGGCGGGTCCCACTCCCGTGAGATAAGGACGCGTGGAAAGTTAAAGAGGGTAATTAGGGGCACGTGGATAGCATGTGATGCTGGAAAACGTGTTGGTGATGAAAGACGCACAAATTGCATGAAGAAGTGAACAATAAATTCAATCACGTATCACTCACGCACGGACAGAGCGTGGGACTGATAATGAAAGAGAGAGAAACAAAGAGGCACGTTACTCATGTGTGTAGTTTGGCGATGCAATCAAAGTCTCCATTACCAATAACATGTGACAACATTCACATACTATATTATTAGTGTTATAAAACAATTTTCATTTTTCTACGACATTTTTTAAATTTATAAATATCAATAATTCCTTATATAATATATAAATACTCACTCCATAATTATTTATAAACAAAATTTAATATTTTATAATTACATAATAGAAGTATATTTTATATTTTAAAGAAGAAATGAATGAGAAAACAAATTACGTAATTTTATCTATAGAAAGGCTGCGTTTTTAAAATTAAATATTTAAATTTTAAATAAAAATATTTTTCTTATAATTTATAATAAAAAACATATTTTTTATTTATAAAATTTAATAATAAATATCATTCGAACTATGGGTGGACAATCTGTCTCTTTGAGTTAAAATCGAGTCAAAATTTTAAATCCGATGTAAAACATTAATTTTATTATTAAAGTCTAATTTTGACGGATGAAATTTCAGTTTTTCACAAATTCAATTTAATCGATTTAACAGATAAATCGGATAGATTAAATCAGTTAATATTTATTGAAATAAATCTATAAAAAAGACCCATCTTTTATAAAATCACAAGTATTCATCTTTTAATTTATTTTATAAAAACTATCAAAATTTTAGAATAATTTAAAGATGAAGTATTTTTTTATTATTGAAAAATTATTATTATCACGTTATAATATTTTAAATATTATTTAATATTAATTTGTTCATTATCATACTTTAAACAACAAATTAAATAACACTCAAAATTTTATATTTTATATATTATATTTTTATGTGTATATAATATCATATTAAATTATAAAAATGACAATAACTTGATAATATTATAAACCTCGTCTTTGTGATGACTCGACTCTAAAATAATAAAAAAATATATAAAATAAATATTTGTTAAGTTCGATCGAGTTTGATTACTGACTAATCTAAAATAATTATCTAAATTCGATCGAATCAATCCTATAATATTCAAATTAAATAATTCGATCAATCTGACATCTGATTCGAATCAATCTATTTACTCAAAAAAGATAATAAATTAGTCGATTTATATCAGACGATTTAAATTTATCCACCTCTAATTTAAACTATCAAATCCACTTTATTAAAACGATTTTCTTATACAATAATGATAATAATAAAATCTTATTCTATTAAGATATATATATATATATATATATATATATATATATATATATATATATATATATATATATATATATATATATATATATATATATATATATATATATATATATATATATATATATATATATATATATATATATATATATATATATATATATATATATATATATATATATATTCAAATTGTTAATCACGATATTTTTTATAATTTTACTAAGTCTTTCTTAATTATTTAATTTATCTTTATTTAATCTACACTTTTTAATGAAATTTATAGATCTTCTCTTTAAATGTTTAAATAACTTAAATAAATTATTTTTGAAATGGTATATATTTTACTTTATTAAATTAAAAAAAGGAACAAAGCACCGACTAAAGCTCCAATGAAACAAGCATGGTAAAGTTTTAATCAAATCCTATGTTGACCCAACCATGGTTTAATGTTATTTCGCACTTTTTTTTTCTTCATTTCGACACCTTAAAAACTCTCTCTCTCTCTCTCACACACACCTTACCCTACCCTACCCTACCCTACACACAATCACGCCACACTCCTCTCTCCTTCAATTTTCACACACGCACCACACCACCCTTTTCTTCACGTTCTCAATCACCACCACCACCACCAACAAAAACAAAACTCCCTCAATCCTTTCTTCCATACACCAAAAACAAAAACCCTCTTCTTTTACCTTAATGTCTGTTCCATTTTCATCACTCACCACCACCATTCCCCTCTTACCACCTTAAACACTTTTCCTTTTCAACATGGCTTCAGCAAACCGCATGTTATCATGGAATGAACAAGACAAATCCATGCTTCAAACTGTTCTTGGTCCTCGAGCCTTTCATTTCTTGATAACTAATTGTTTATCAAACGAAACCATCTTAATCGCTGTTGGTAATGGAACTGCCACTGCTGATTCTCTTCAAAACAAACTCTCTGAACTTGTTGAAAATTCTTCCACTTTCAATTGGAACTACGCTATTTTCTGGCAACTCTCTCAATCAAAATCCGGCGATTATGTTCTTGGTTGGGGTGATGGATGTTGCAGAGAACCAAACGAAGAAGAACAACAAGAGAGTGAAAATCTTACCCTTCGAAGAAAGGTAAAAGAAGAAGAAGAAAGGGTTGAGCAGAATATGAGGAAGAGGGTTTTACAGAAGCTACACAAAGCTTTTGGTGGTTCTGACGAAGACAATTACGCTTTTGGCCTTGACCGTGTAACCGACACTGAGATGTTTTTTTTAGCTTCTATGTACTTTTCTTTTCCAAAAGGGTATGGTGGACCCGGTAAGTGCTTTGATTCTGCTCAAAATTTGTGGTTCAAATCTGTTTCTGATGATTACTGTGTTCGTTCTTTCTTGGCTAAATCTGCTGGAATTCAAACTGTTGTTTTACTACCTACTCATTTTGGTGTTCTTGAGTTGGGTTCCGTTAGAATCTTACCTCAAAGCTTTGAATTCTTGAACAATGTTAACTCATTGTTTTCACTTTCAAATTTGTCATCGTCCTTCTTGTTGTATCCTAGTATTAGTGCGACCAATGAGGGAAGAGATGATGAAAGTGGAGTTTCTAATGGTGTTCATGTTCCACCAAAGGTTGGTTTGAATTTGAACAATGGTTGTTCGCATTTTCGAGAGAAACTTGCTATTAGGAAAATGGATAGTACTAGTAGCATTCACTTTCCTAGTTCTAGAAATCGTGTTTCTGGTTCTACTAGTTGGGGAAAGAATCAAGTTCTAGGTGAAGTTTTTGGTTCTAGTAATGGTGTGAGAAAGGGCTTTAGTAACTATCAACCACAAAGGAAGCAGGTTCAAATGCAAATTGATTTTTCGGGAGCGAAATCGAGGGCTAATTCTGTGAGACCGGTTATTGGTGAATCGGAAGTTGCTGCTGCTGATGTCGACGCTGATCGGCCTAATGATGAAAGGAGGCCGAGGAAACGCGGAAGGAAGCCTTCTAGTGGAAGGGATGAGCCTCTCAATCACGTGGAAGCGGAGAGACAGAGACGCGAGAAGCTTAATCAACGTTTTTACGCCTTAAGAGCTGTTGTGCCGAATATTTCCAAGATGGACAAAGCATCTCTACTTGGTGATGCCATTGCTTACATCAACGAGCTTCAAGCAAAACTCAAGATCATGGAGTCTGAGAAAGAGACATTTGGAAGCAGCACTTCGAGGGATGGATCAGCCAACTCAAGAGCAGAGCATTGCCATCAAGTTCCTCCTAACGACGTTGATATTCAAGCTTCTCAGGACGAAGTAATTGTGAAGGTGAGTTGTCCTATTGATACTCATCCTATTTCAAAAGTAATCAAAACATTCAAAGATGCACAAATCGGTGTAGTTGAGTCGAAGCTCACTGCGGCAAACGATACAATCTATCACACCTTTGTAATTAAGTCAGAAGAACCCGAACAACTCACCAAGGACAAGTTGATTGCAGCATTTTCCGGCGAATCCGTCTCGTTACAAACACAAACTTTGTCCATATAGGCATCATCATACATAGAGAAGGAACAAATTTCTAAACCTTCCTAAGAAATTTTTGTTGTGCAGGTGAAAACTATCTTAAGAAATGCTTTAGCAGTGGCAACTAGACAGAAGTAGAATAATATATAGCTAGATTCTATTAACACACCTGTGTACAGGACAACAGTTTATGTTTGTCTATAGTATACACAGTTTAATTATCAGAAATATTGTTCCTACAATGTTGATTGTTTTATTTATGTAACAGAAATGTTCAAAGGATTTATGTCTTTTCTCAAGTTTTAATCTTCTTTTTTGTTGTTACACCATTTTTATGACTATTTGAGGTATCTAATTGATGCAGGAAGAACAGAACCTTAGGCTAAAAGGGTGTATACAAAAATAGTAGGAGTATAAACTTGTACTTTTGTTAATAATTTATGTGATAAATAAAAGCACAAGCAAAATCACTAGCACCATTGATTAGTGGTCCTGCTTTGTTGTTTGAATAGGTAAAACGTTCACGTGTTCAGGTCCTTTCAACTAATGAGTTTGGCATGACAACATGTGGTGCATGTGTTTCCTTTTTTTATAAGTGAAAGGACTTTCAAGGAAATCAAAGTGTGACAATGGTTAAATGCGTACATGGAATGGATAATCAAATCTACCTTAAGTCTTGCTTTTTAAACTAATGTAATGTTATTTTTATAGACATCTCAATAGACTTGTATTATGACTGAATCATAATAATTATAATCATGGATTGTTCTTTTAGGGGTGGAAATGATGAGCATGTCTCTCTCGTTTAGTTCCGTCTCACAAAAGTGTCTCGGCTAAATCTGTCATGCAAAAGCAAAAGTCTGTCGAAAAATGGGATAACGAGTTGGAAAACTTGGTTTAATCTACCAAAAAATGGTGCCGAGCAGGCCATGCCACTGATAAGGTTTGCCCGCTATAATTGGGGCAGAATCGAGCAAAGTGGTAAAAATTATGTTCTCTCTGTTAAGGTTCATGTCCGCCAGAATTTGCTAAAATTGAGGCAGAATTGAGCAAAGTAGAAGTTTAAAAGTGGTAAGAATTATGTCCTCTCTATTAAGGTCGGTGCATGTCAAAATCCGCTCCGATGCGTCCGACCGGTTTTTTCACCCTTAGTTTTCTTGATTGATGTTTTGTCTTCTTCAATTTATCATAGGCTTCCTATCATGTTAGTGTTGGTGCAAGGTAATGAAGTGGGAGACGAAAAATGAACAAAAAATGATAACAAGAAGACTACTGTTGTATATAAAAAATAGAGGATATAAAGTAGGGTACAATATTGATAGCCTAGGATATCATATTTATACTAAATATTAAAAATGTCAAAAGGGCCTATTAAAGGATAAGCATTGGGAATTGTAGAAATTAACTAAATTATCTTTCCAATACCATCCCTTAATTTAGATTTTCTATCAGAAGCTAAGAACACCAATTTCATCTCTTAAGCGAAGAAATTGGTCTGTCTTAATTGCCTTCGTCAGAAGATCTACTAGCTATTTTTGGGTGCTGTAGTGCAGAACTTCTAACACTCCTTTCTGCACATGACTTCTGAGAAAATGATACTTCGTCTCAATGTGCTTGCTTCTTTCATGTATCACTGGATTCTTGGCAAGATCAATTGCAGATTTATTATCAATCATCAGCTTCAGAGGTTCTCCAACTTCAACCATCATCAGATCATGCAAGAGATTCAGAAGTCAAACACCTTGACAAACAACTACAGCACCTGCGATATACTCAGCTTCACACGTTGACAGAGCCACGACAGGCTGTTTCTTGGAACTCTGAGAAATGGGACCTCTCAGAAATTTAAACAAGTGTCCAGAAGTACTTCTCCCGTTCACTCTGTCTCCGCACCAGTCAGAATCAGAATAACTTACTAATTCTGGTTATGTCTTTCTTTCAGAAGGAAACAACACTCCATATTTCAGAGTTCCCTTGATATATCTCAGAATTCTGACAGCAGCTTGGAAATGAGGCCACTTTGAATTACTCGTGAATCTGCTAACCAATCCAACTGCATAACAAATATCAGGTCTAGTATTACATAAATACTTTAGAGAACCAACCAACTGTTTGAAGGTTGTAGTATCAACAAAATCACTGTCAGAGTCAGAATCAAATTTTTGATTGGTTTTTGATGGTGTCACAACAACTTTACAATTTTGCAGCTTAAATCTCTTTAGAAGTTCAAGTTCGTACTTCAACTGATGCAAAATGATACCCTTTTTTGAGTACAAAAGCTCCATCCCTAAGAAATATGTCATATTTTCTAGATCTGTCATCTCAAACTCATTCATCAGAACTTCTTTGAACTTCTTTATATCTTCTGGGAAGCTTTCTGTTAGTAAAATGTCATCAACATAGAGACACACCAGAATCATATTGTTATCAGAGTGTTGTACATAAACGTCATATTCCATCTCACATTTCTGAAACTTCTGCTTCTTGAAAAACGAATCAATTTTTAGATTCCAAGCTCTGGGCGCTTGCTTCAGTCCATATAGAGCTTTATTAAACTTGTATACCATCCCTTGATTCTTTTTTACAAACTCAGGAGGTTGTGACACGTAAACTTCTTCATGTAATGGACCGTTCAGAAATGCAAACTTTACATTCAGATGCATCAAAGACTAATTTCTATTTGCAACTAAAGCAATCACCAGTCCGATTGTTTCATGCCTAGCTACAGACGCAAACACCTCAAAATAATCTAGCCCAGGTTTCTGAATAAAACCTCTAGCTACTAGTCTAGCTTTGTGCTTTCCAATTGAACCATCTGGCTTAAGCTACAACTTAAAAACTCATCTGACACTGATGGCTTTTTTCTTATCTGGAAGCTTAGTCAATTTCCATGTTTTGTTCCTTTATATTGCCTCAAGTTCTTATTTCATGGCATTCAACCATTATTTCTTATTGAGAGCTTCTTCAATGTCCACTGGTTCAAAATCTACTAACATGGCACACTGAATGACTTTTCCTTCAGAATCAACTTCATTATCCTGTAACATGTCAAAATCTGCAAACCTTCTTGTTTTTTGTCTGATTCTCTGTGGTCTCTGAGCTTGTTCTGAAACTGCACCAGAACTCAGAGTTACCACCTTCAGAGTTTTTCCTTTCAGAATTATGATCACCACCAGATTCTGGATCATCATCAGCATCTGGATCAGATCCACTGTCAGAATCTCTTTCTGACTCATCTTCAGAATTTTCAGAATCAGATTCATCTTCTGATTCTGACTTATCTTCAGAACTTTCTAAAACATCTTCAGAAGCTAACTTTGGTGTTGGCATTACACCAAAATCTGATTGAGACTTGTTCCAATCTCATGCTTCAGACTCTTTCACCACAACGTCTCTGCTGACTTCAACTTTATTAGTTTATGGACAATAAAGCTTATACGCGTCTGTACTGTGATACCCCACCAGCAACATTACTTTGCTTATATCATCCAGTTTTTGTCTTCTAGCTTCTGGAACGTGTTTGTAACAGACAGAGCCAAATATCTTCAGATGACTGACACTCTGCTTATCTCCAGTCCATTTTTCTAAAGGAACAACTTCCTTCAGCTTCTTCGTTGGATACCTGTTCAAAATATATGCTGATGTGGCAACAGCTTCTTCCCATAACACGTGAGGTAGCTTATTTTCTTTCAGCATGCTTCTGGTCATATCAAGTAAAGTTTTGTTTCTTCTTTCAACAAAACTGTTGTGCTGAGGAGTATATGGAGCAGTAATCTTATGTTCTATTTCATTCTCCTCACAAAATTTCTGGAACTCTGTAGAGTTATACTCACCTCCACCATCTGTTCTCAGAATTTTCAACTTCTGATCACTCTGCTTCTCAGCCTTCACTTTGAACTTCTAGAACTCAGTAAACACTTCATGCTTGAATTTGATGAGTGTTACCCATGTCATTCTTGTGAACTCATCCACAAAAGACACAAAATACTTGTTTCTTCCAAGTGAAGGTATTGGAAATGATCCACACACATCATAATGTACTACTCTCAGAGCATGCTTCGCTCTGAGGGATACTTCTGATGCAAATGGAAATCTGGGTTGCTTGCCTTTCATGCATATCTTACATGACTTCTCAGGCTTCATAATCTTCGAAATACCATGTACAAGCTTCTTAGAACATAGATGCCCTAAGCTTCTATAGTTCAAATGCCCCAATCTCTCACGCCACATCTTACTGTCACCTTCAGCGCCTTCTGCACTAAGATACATTGCTTCAGCTGTTTCTACATTTACCTTGAATATTCTGTTGCCTCTTTGTTTGGACTTCATAATCAACTTCTGATTGGAATCATACAACGTCAAAAGATTGTTTTTCATAACAACTGAGAAACCTTTCTCAATCAATTGACACACGCTCATCAGATTGCTTCTAATACCAGGAACATATTAAACGTCTTTGATCAGAATGTTTTTCCCATTCTTCACTCTAACTCTGACATCTCCCATACCTTATGCACTAAGATACTTATCATTAGCACATCTGGTCTTTATTCTCCTTCTGGAGTCAAAGTCTTTCAGCCATTGTTTGTTTCCAGTTAAGTGATTTGAACAGTCAGTGTCCATATACCATCAATCTTCTGAGCATTTTCCATTAGAATCAGAAGCCATTAGTAGCAAAGGTTCATCATCAGAGTTTCCCTTAGTCATATACGCTTCTTCTGATTTCCTTTTCTTGTTTGACCTACAATCTTTGGCAAAATGGCCAAATTATTTACAAGAGTAACATTGAACCTTCTTTTTGTCATACCTCTCCTTTCCTTTATGATATCTCTTATCATCAAAAGTTGAGGTTTCTGACTTCTGAAATCTATCACCACGTTTATTCTACTTCTGATCTTTCTTGACAAAGGAAGCCTTCAGAGCTTGCTCAGCTTCCCTCTCAGAAGTTCTCTCAGTCAGACGTAACTCCTGTGCTTTTAAACTGCTTTGCAATTCTTCTATTCTCATGGTCTCCAGGTCTTTAG